TTGTGGGTTATTTAGACAAGCAGTTAGTGTGTGAGTGTTTATTACAGTGTACACCCCTAGGCAAAAAATGGGCCAAACCCAAAATGGCTCAGGTTTAAGCTTTTAATTGTCTTAAACAAATTAGCGGTCAGGAAATTAGCGAAATGTGAGCAAATGCACCACTTAAAAGGCCATTGCGGTCTCAGAAAACCTTTTAAAGACAGAATGACGTTTTTGGCAGAATATGATAAGTTGTGTGTGGATTGATAGCCTGAATCACAATGAAACACGAGTTGCATGGTAATGCTCCAAGTCAAGTCACCTTCATTTATATAGCGCTTTTAACAACCGTGTTGTGCATGAACGCGTTCAATGAACGACGTTCACTGAACTCGTTCATATTTTCGCCGAACACTGAACTGAACGAATCACTTGAACGTGAACGAGAGCGCGCGCTCACTCTGTCAGGAATGAATGAGCAGCACGCGCAGTTCACGTTCACGCTTATTTGAAAAGTCAGGTTGCCTCCAACCCCAGTTTTGAGTCACCGAAACTTCAACCCGGGAGAAGTTACAAGGCGTATCATGCAAACTACAGCCTTCATGGGAAGAAGGGGAAACAAACATTGCAGCAGTGTACCAGGTTATAAAACGTGAGTTTAATGTAAGTGTTATTTTTGGTAATAATTGTGCGGGTGTTCCACAACACAAACAATTAATGCTTGTCTAAACAGTTTCTGCTTTACAATTGGTTCATGTTTCAAAATATAGGTTGCTGTTTTCAAATCTTAAAGACAATATCAAAATGCCCTTAATTAAATGAGTCCACCACTTGTTTTGTAAAACATTGTAATCACACAAGAAATACATTTTTTTTTAAATGCATTCTACACAACAGGGCTATCATGCTGAGTCATTCCGGACTAACGTTACAGGACAACGCTGTGGAGGAACTCGTCACAAATGTTTTAAAACCACAGTAAACTACAGGTACAAATATACACTTCTTGTGAGCATTTCACTTAAAAGACTTTTTAAAAATGTATAAAACAGAATTATGTATCGCTTCCGAGTAGCCTAGCCATGTGAACTTTTATGTGAGCCACTTTTATTACAGAGGTAAGGGAAAGGAAGACTAGTTGACACGACTTGAGGACTGCGTTGTCGTCATGTCCAGGTGCAGGTCCTTCACTTATATTAGTGTAGACACCATCCTTCTTATGATGTAGGCCTACATTACAGTCACTCCTCACGAATTATACTCAAATGAACTGGGAGACATAACCCTAACTCATTAACTGTTTAAAACCATTCACATTGAGTGGAACAACCCTGACTCTTCTGGATAAAGGTGTTTGCAAGCTCGGGAAGGCTATTACATGCTAAGTATAACAGTATCTACAGTATTTCTTGCTAATTTCCTGACCAGTGTGATTAAAATGGTAAAGACCATGAAAAAAAAACACTAAATATTTTGCCATTTTTGGCTTTGCCCAAAAATAGAAAAAGAGATATGATCAGTGCAAACTGCACAGTCTGCACGTACAGCTATAGGCGACTAAGACAGCTATTTATCACAAAAGAGCGCCAAATGGTATTTATGGTTTCATTTCTTTATAAATTGTGAATTTTTGACAGAACTGTACAACTGAGGCTTCAAAACAAAAATAAAATGAACAATGATTATTGCGATTCTTTTTCCAATTCCGTTTGGTGGCGCTGAAATTACACATCACCTCTGAAATCCTGTCAGTTGCAGCAAGCAATTAACACCATCTAATTCTGTATCTGTGTATAATATAATATTCTGTAGGCTATATAATATCTAATTCTGTACCATGGTACCACAAGACCTTTTGTAAAATATTTTTTTATCAGTCAAGATAGGATGATTTGTAAAAGAGTATTTTGGAGTGTATTAGCTATCTTGCTGCTCAGACTTAATTAGCCTACTGACTCATACGCATCCATTTTGTGTTACGCTTTATTTTCAAGACATTGTCACTAGATGGCACAATTGTGTTAAAAAAGAACAAGAGTTGAAACAGAAGCTTGTCCCTTAGGGATTAGCAGAAAATCTGTCTACACATCCAACTAATTCAACTAGAAAAGGAATCTATTTTTATTTGTTGGAAGTGGGTTAAGTCCACTTCCGGTTGTAGTTCTACTTACAATCAAACATTTTTCTCTTAAAACTGTGATTTGAATAGCCTACTCAGCACAGAGGATCAGATTATAAAGTTGGCATTTTTCCTGTTATGCTCGCCGAACTGCATAATCTCAAGAGTAGTACAGTAATAAACAGATCCGTGCCTATACTAAAACATGATATTCACACTGAACGCCAACAGTAACAGCATGTTCACTGCAGCCCATCTGTAGGCCTTGTTCTCACGTCGTTGGATGCTCTTTGTCACATCTGTGCTCGAGGGAATGCGGTTTCATGGAGGATCAAATAACTCCTCTCAGTGTCTTGGTGTTATGATGCAGTGCAATCGTGTGTAATACACGGCATTAAATGAGAAAAGTTCTTAAATTAGAACGGGAAGGAATGCGTGATTCCCTGTGGCTTTGTTACGCTAGGATGACTGTGTGTTCAGTGTGTGTGTGTTTACATGTGTGGCATGAAATCAATGAGTGCTCATTTTCCACAGCTGTTAGTACGACGGCACATAAACCCTCTCAGTGTGAACGACAACACGAGACCTCTCTCCTTCCTTTCCCATGCGCCATCGGTCTCCATTTCACCCTTCTGCTCCGCAAACTTGCCCTTAATTCCCACTTTTTCATTCATTGGCACTTCTGCACTATTTCAGCGCCGGCTCCCCGGGCCCTCGAGGATGATGGTAGTTTATGAACCATCATCTAAAGCACAGGAACTCGCCGGAACGTTTCCCCGGGGGATCTCGTTCCTAACATGGTTTCCTCATCCCCTACGCCGTCACGAGGAAGAACCGCGCCGCTCGCTTGTCCTCCTTTTTCACGTTTTCCTTTGAGCCGTGGCTTATTGTCAGCAGTTTTTCAAGGCTCCTGTCACTGGCAGCCACCTGGTAACAATAAGATACCATCAACTGCGGAGGAGAGGAGGCAGCTAAACTGGGGCGTTGTAATGAACGCGCACACACAAGTCTGAATGCCACACATTCATCTTCTCTGGTTATTGGGGCTGCATGCAAGGCAAATGTTCTCCTAGTCAATGTTATATATGCATAAGGTAAAATAGAAATAAACATAGTGGAGCTGGATGGAGAATGAGCTGACAGAAATGTCACTTGCAAACCCAGGTCACAGTTTGCATGGCACACATTCATCATTAGCCTACATTATGTAGGGGATTGCGTGTAGATTATTAGGCGATAGATACTTATACAACTCGCAACTTTTCTAGATGTGCTGCACCAAGACTCCCTAGCAATATCCTCTGTGACAGACTATAAACTTCAGGGCAATTAAAAGGCAATTACGCTTCGATCTTGGATTTTGGACTGAAAAAGAGCAACATCAAGAGTATGCATGCAAATATGAATCTATAATGGCTCTATAAAATCCCCAGTGGAACAAACTTTCTATTTAAATTGAGGATCAGTCAATGAGCATTATATGAGTAATTTGTGGAACAGTAATGATAATTAGGATGAGGCATTCACTTTTGTGGATAATTTACTCCCCCATGTCATCCAAGATGTCCATGTCATTCTTTCCTCAGTCGAAAAGAAATTAAGGTTTTTGATGAAAACATTCCAGGATTTTCTCCATATAATGAACTTCATTGGGAACCAAACGGTTCAAGGTCCAAATGAGAGTTTGAGTGCAGCTTCAAAGGGCTTTAAACGACACCAGACAATGAATTAGGGTCTTATTTGAGTCATGACTCGAAAAAAGATTTGTTTATTTTGATGACAGGAGAGTCACGAACGCTCATCACAGAACAAGGCGAGCATTTAAGCTTATAAAACTTAAACTTTGTTAATTATTTATTAAATGAGCGATCGTTTCGCTTGATAAGACCCTTATTCATCGTGTGGTGTCGTTTAAAGCCCTTTGAAGCTGCACTCAAACTCTCATTTGGACCTTGAACCGTTTGGTTCCCAATGAAGTCCATTATATGGAGAAAATCCTTGAATTTCTTAATTTCGTTTCGACTGAAGAAAGAATGACATGTACATCTTGGATGACATGGGGGTCAGTTAATTGTCAGCAAAAGTTTTTTGAAAAGTGAACTACTCCTTTAAGAATTTCTTACTCCTTTAAGGTGGCATCTGAGCTCTGTGTGTATAAAACTGAGCATTAATATCATAATTTAAACTTCAAAGCAAAGAAACCTCCACAAAACAGAGCAGCATTAATTTCAAGATTATGCAAGCATATATTAAACATGCATGGTTGAATTACATCTGCAAATAGTTTTTGAGTTATGAAAGATTTCTATCTTGTGTTTAAGTTACTGTTGAGAATAATTCAGTGAACATTACAGGTGATACATCAGTTATGATAATAAAAATATGATTTTATGATTCTGTGGTATAAAATATCCGTGTGTGTGTGTGTTCAGCAGACTTTAAATTTCAAGGCAATGAAACTCAATTTGGCAAAATAGAAAAAGAGCAACATTAAGATGAATTATTATATCCATTTCTATTCTCCTACTGGAATAAAATGAGTTTTTGTGTGTAAAATACTGTTGCATGCAGTAATTTGAGGATAATTAATAAGTTGACTTCATGTGTTCTTCTCAAGAAAACGTACAAAAACCCCATCCCAACTGTGGGTGGTTATATATATATATATATATATATATATATATATATATATATATATATATATATATAAGTATATAGCCTATATATATATCAAGTTATTTGTTCCAAAGGTGACCATCGTAATTTTAGAAAAAAAAATTGCGTATTTTTATTTTGATTGTGCGCGCGCATATTTGAGCGCTGTATGATGATGCGGAGAGAGAGAGAGAGAGAGAGAGAGAGAGAGAGAGAGAGAGAGAGAGAGAGAGAGAGAGAGAGAGAGAACGCGCTCCTCTTTGTGCGCGTGTCTGTCTGTCAGACCTTCACCAACACGAGACTGAAGTCAAGACTCTGCAGCTGTCATGTAAAATCAGGTAAGACCTGATACCTTTTAAAAGCGGCAGGTTTTGCGTTTCTCATCATCAGCATTTTAAACTTATTAAAGCGGAAACAAACGTAAAAAACAAGCGTGTCTGGATAGCCACAGGCACTTATGGTGAGTCCATAGACATGTGCTGTGACTGTGGAAAACGACAGATACTCGCTGATGTGTTCTGGCTGGCTGGATGTGTCTCATGTGGATACATTTGGGGAAAAAATACACCTTTTGCTTTCGCTCATGCTGAATTTCTGACAGATGGAGGCGCGCCGCGCGCTAGTGACCGGCTACCGGAGCGCGCGGACTCGAAGCACACTACTGGCTGCTCGTTTACTAATTAGTGCTCCTGTGTTGTAGTGTCTTTGGGTCAGTTATGTCGGGTTCAGTCCTGTTTGAATAACCTGAGGTCAGCGGTCTTAATCAAAGGTAGTAGGCTACGTTGTAGTTTGTGATTCATGAACCTGTTCATGAACAATATAGTGGATAGTTCATCAAGCCTTCTGGGGTTTGAACTTACAACCTCAGCAGATGCTCAAACTGTCTCAGTTAGTGTTGTTAACAGCTGTGTGCGCATGCGCTGTAGGAGACACCGGGGCAAGTTGTCACACCTCTAAATCAAATTAATCACCTAGGTAGATCACTACAGGGGGGAAACGCATTTGTGTAATTATGTTATTTAAATATAGACCTTGTGACAACTTACTAATGCAATTACCAGACCTGTTCTCTCTTACTTGTGAGGTAAAGTTTAAAAACAAAGTTTTGTAGTGATTATAAATTGCCTGATGTGAGAACAATTGAAGTTTATGGGAGGCCATCAGAAGTCTATGGCTCTGTTCCAAAACCTAGCAAGCTGCATACGTGGGCCGCATCATAAGAATGCTCCAGACGTGAAGTCTTTTCCAAAAAATATACCTTCTTTGAGAGTTTTTTGAAGCAAGCATTGCATGTATAATTTGCAAAGAAGGTATTCCCACAATGCATTGTGAGCAAATTCCAAGATGGAAAAAAGAGTGAGTAGTTTAACATTTCTGCATTTCTATATGCATATGTAAGCAATATAGAAAGTTTCATTCAGCCTCAATTTAAAAAAAAAAAAAAAAATCCAGGTTTGCTCTGCTGTTCTGAAGGGCTGCAGAGTTTGTTGAACACTTTATGACTACACTCTAAAAATGCTGGGTTGTTTTAACCCAATTTTGTGTCAAATATGGAAGAATTCAAACATTGGGTTTAAAAATTTAATTTTAAAATGTAACCAAATGCAGGGTCCATATTTGACCCAAAATTGGGTTAAAACAACCCAGCATTTTTGTATATCAATATGGCTATAAACTAACGATGAAACATATTGTCATATTATTATTCACTATAATTAGAAATAAATAAGAACAAAACAAGAAATGTTAGGCTACTCATTTAATATTTCACTCTAAAATATTATTTTATAATAATTTTATTTTACATTACAACTGTAAAATTATAATAATAATGTCTTATTATCTTAATTTTCAAACTTTAAACCATTAAAAAAAAGAAATTTCCACAGTACTGTATTTAAATACCTTGTTATTATAAGAAGGAACTTTGTTAGTGATATTCGTATGTGTGAGTAGAAACAAGTTTCAGTACGTGTTGCAAGAAAATAATGATCTTTATGACAGGTCAAACCTGGCTGTCAGGCTTATGTAGTTGTGTTTGTTCATATGTCTTGGTTCCATGTTAACCCTTTCAGTCTTCATTGTGCCCTATTTAGTTTCCTTAGTTACTGATTATGTTCACCTGTTGTTCATTTAGTCCCCTTGTTAAAGGGATATTTCACCCAAAAATGAAAATTCTGTCAGTATTTACTCAACCTCATGTTGTTCCAACCCCGTAAGACCTTCGTTCATCTTCGGAACACGAATTAAGATATTTTGAGAGCTGGATCACTCTTCCATATAGGCTTCTTAAGGGATTGAAACTTGCCAGCCTCGAAAAGTTATTAAAGACATCGTTAAAATAGTCCAAGTGACAACAGTGGCTCAATCTTAAAAAGGAACTAAACACTTAACCAAATTTTTTTAGTTAATGATCTGTAAGAATGGATCTTTATTAATACCAGTCATTGATTCGAGTAACTTTTTTGACATTTGTTTATAAAGGGTTCTATTTCTACAATATATGGTGTAAAAGCATCTAGTATATGGTATTTAAATGTAATCCTGAACTATTGTTGCTGTTTGCTGTCAGTCTTTTATGATATTTATTAATATTGTAAAGCACATTGGACAATGTAAATTGTATTTAATTGTGCTATATAAATAAACTACCTAACCTAACCTAAAAGCGTCTTAGTGCTGCCCTCTTCAGGTTGAACGGTGGCTACTGCAGTTGAATTTTCCTATTGGATGTTCCGCACTTCGTGACGTACCCAGGTTTCAGCTCACCACGCGAGCTACACCCGTGGCAATATAATAACCATCTTGTGTCGTCAAAACCACTGTAGGGAGTCAGGAATTGGAATTGTGAGTATTGAAAACGATCAGGATAGAGTGTTTTAGGGGTCTGCCCACTTTTTCAGCATTTTCAAATATTGCCAGTGGGTGGAGTCAGGCCCTGACCAAGGGTTTAGTTACCCTTTAAGTTTATCAAGCGACGAGAATTTTTGTGCTCAAAAACAAACAAAAATAACGACTTTATTTCAACTATTCATTTTCTTTTCTTTGGGCCGCTAGTCAGTAAAACTAGCGTAATTGCGTAGAGCTACGTCACACGTAGGCTCACTATTGGCCGACGCTGGTCATGCGTGTGATGTACAACAACAGAAGCTTACGCTGTTACACTAGTGAACTCACTCGAAGACCACAAAAAAAGAAATTAATATTTGAAATAAAGACGTTATTTTGGGGGGGTTTTGCGCACAAAAAGTTTTCTCGTCGTTTGATAAACTTAAGATTGAGCCACTGTAGTCACTTGGACTATTTTAACGATGTCGTTAATAACTTTTCGAGGCCGGCAAGTTTCAATCCCTAAAGAAGCCTATGGATTTCATCAAAAATATCTTTATTTTGTTCCGAACAACAAGAGGGTGAACTATCCCTTTAACTCGGTGTGTAAATACTACTCCCGGTCCCTTCCACTCTCGCGTGTTTGTTCCCTTGCGGATATTCTCTGTTTAATAAAAGTAAATCTGTTGATTTCCCGCGTCATGCATCTCCTGAACACCAGCAAATTCGTGACACTGGCAAATCGGCGTTAACAGGGAAGTGTTTTATCTTCTCCCTGATTTCTAGTTTGTCTCTCTTAACGGATTCTATACATCAGTCTGAGCATTAAAGCAATATTACTGCAACAACTCACTGTAATTAAATTCTCGTCCGGTCAGGGTGTGTGTGTGTGTGCGTTTGCTCCAGCTTGTTCATTAAGGACAAATTTGTTCAACAAATGTTCTGCGAATTATCAGTCCCGGACTGCCTGCTAAGGATGGATTCAGCTCAGTTTGCAGGAAGAAGCTCAGATCCGCGTGAGATACTCAAGTGCTTTTGTGGGGTCAGCCATTTAAGGCTTTACCATTCTCTGAATCTCACACATGCAATATGTGTGCGTCTCCTGTCATATGCCTGTGCGGATCTGACAAGCTCGTGGGTTATTTTTACTGGCGGCTGTGTTTGAGTCCAGTGAAGTGAGACTGGAACAGCGATTTGCCATTTGAGATGCAGTGACCATTCATCGTTACCCTTTCAAGGCTGCATGAATCAAAAATATTAATAAACCTCTCACATGCACTCTAAAACATATTCGTTTTTATTTTTTCGGCTACTACTCTCTTTTTTAAAAAATATTTAATACTCGTATTTAATATTATATTAATATGTTTTTTAAATTATTTTATTTTTTAACTCTAACAAGCCGATGCATTCATTTTAAAAATCTCAAATGTATTAACCTCCCTGATATCTTTCTTTTCTGCCATTATTTAGATAGGTTTTTACTGGGAAGCAACCTACAAATTTGAATTATTCAAAATGATGTATTTTCTGAAGTTCTTATTTTGCTCTGTTAAGTTTCTTTTTAACCTTCAGCCACAGCAGAAGTTCTCACTTGCTTGAAACACAGTTTTCCTATTACAGATTAAATCTTAATCAAAAGAACTTTTTAGAAGTTCAGACGCACCGGAGAAGCTGTGTGTCCCTAATGAACAGAGCTCTAATATCTGCTCTCCATAATAATGCAGAGTTTGTTTTTGATCATTTGGCCTGAAGACTGCATATTATTCCCACTGACAGTCAGTTTTAAGGTAGTGCTAAATGATTTACTTTACACTTTGTAAGCTAAGCAATTCCAACGCAAACCTCTCTCTTTCACCTTTTAAAAGTTTAATTGTGCATAATGTCAGAAACTACGGACCCTTGGATCCAAGCGCTGCAGAAACACTTATTTTAAGAAAAGCAGCAAAACTAAACCAAAACCAGAACTAAAACAAACATTCAATCGAGGAACACACCAACTCGGGTTTAAATACACAAGACAACAAGGAACAGGTGTAAGTGAGCAATGGAGATAAATATGGGCTGTGTCCGAAAATTGCCCCCTATACCCTTAAATAGGGCACGATTAACTAAAAAAAAAAAATCCTGTAAATTAATAAAAAATGGTAAACTTACTAGCAGCTGTGGTTGCCAGCATCATACCGGTAACTATACGGTATGTTACTGTTTTTGTGTTAGAGCATATAGCTGTTAAATTAAAGTTTTATACTGTAGCTGACAATACGGTATTTAGCTGTTGGTTTCAAAAACGGTAACAAACCGTTTTTTTACAGTATTTCTCACAGTTTGAGATGCGCTTTGAACACAGCTATGGAAACAACCCAGTGACTTGCCGAGGAAACAATAGGTGTGTTCGGCATCGGCCTGCGGCAACCAATCGGCGAGCGGGAGGATATGAAAACTGAGACGTGAAGTCAGACACTTTCTGCTTCCCGTAGTGACCGCATGTGGGGTTTGCGTACTTTAC